GCTCTGAACAACCACAGATTCATGATCCTGATTATTATCTGACAAATCCTTATTTAAATTAATAAAGTTACTATAGATATTTTTATACCAACCTGACTGGCCATTTTTGTTTTCTGACTCCTGAGTTCTCTCCTTAACTTCAGTGTTTTTCAAAACTTGGCTTTCTGATACTGAATCTTGTTCTGAGCTGTAAGGTTCAATTAGTTTGTTTCTCTCAGCTACTTCTCCAGCAGAAGATGTCTCCTTTAAATCTGAAGTGCTCTTGAAGTCAAGAAGAGTATCTCTATTTGTTGGTAGCTCCCCAGAACTTGGTGTTTTACTATCTGAATCTATTATTCCTTCTACAACATTTTTCTTGTCAGTTTGTTTTTCATCTGTTGTTTCATATGGTTGTTTTTTTAATTCTCTATCCTTGTGAAATTCAGTTTCTTGTTGGTTGGAGCTCTGCATTTTTCCAGTCTTATCTGTTGTATCCTCTGCTTCACTGCTTTGCTCCTCATTTATTATAGTTTTGTCTTTCTTAGCATGCCCAAAAGTTAAAACATCAGGTAACCCCAAATTAAACCAGCTTGAGTCAGAATCCTCTTTGTCACTCTGTTGTTGTTCTTCATCCATTGATGTTTCTGTAGCTGCAGCAATAAATTCGTGATCAGAATGTCCAGCCATACTAGAGCTGTGATGAGTGTGTGGATCATTTTCATCAGATGGCAAATCATGGCCTATACTCTCTCTACTAAAATACAGAAAGTCTGTCAATCCACTTTGAAACCAGCCAGAAGTCATGGGCTTTGGTTCATCTTCCTCATTTAGCTCTTTTAAGTCACTTTCATCAGCTACTGCTATTTTTCTGCTTCTGAATGTATTTTCTTCTACAGACTTACTAACTATTTCAGTAGTTTCTTCATCATGTTTACTTCCTAGGTTAAGCCATCTTGCAACACTAGAGACAGTCCAGGTAGCTTGTGTTGGAGCTGATGGGTGAATGCTTTGAGCTTCTGGATGGACAGCATCATCATTCCCACTCTTGTCCTTTCTGGACATCTCATTGCTTGTAGTCTCCTCCTGCATGTGAAGATCTTTAGATGTTCTATCTGCTTCAACATTTGCAGGATCTAACTCAACTTCATGATCCCACTGGAAGGATGCATGCTTTTGGAGTTCAACTTTCAACTCCTTTGATTCTAGTTCCTTTTGGTTTGTATAAGGTAATGGATATTCATTGCCTTCATCATGCTCATATAATAAACTATCTTTGTTTTCAAAACTGTATTCACCTCCATCAAGACAAAGGAAATCAGTCTCCTAGAAGAACAACATTTACTTTTTTATTATTTGTATTAGTATTCTAAAGTACTTTGCAATAAAACAACATAACCATATTATCTTTTTTTTGTTCTATACAATTATATTAGTATAGAGGCTCATATGAAGAAGTTGAACAAGTGTATAAAAATGGAAGCTGGGAGGAGATATTAGTACTCTTTATAAACACATTGTATTGATACAAGATCAAATGAACAAACTGGTGAGGAATACATTTAAACTGGAAATTAGAAAAAGGTTTCTAACCATCAGGAGAGTTAAGTTCTGAAGTGGACATCTGAAATGGTAGTGGTGGCATGGAACCTAAATTGTTTCACAAAAGAGTTTGTTAACTTCATGTAAGGGATATTATGACTGGATAAGAATGATCTCAGAATCAGTAATTAAAGCTTGTGATGCAAGGCTTCAGCTATTCAGCTTGTTAGAAAGCCAAAGGGGGTTGAAAAGAGACTGGATCACTGTGTGGGCTGCTCACCTGTAAGGAAGTTGGCTAATAGTGTAGGGCTTTAACTTCAGTGGTAGACAGGACAGGACCTGGTGACAGAGACTGAAACTCAAGAAAGTGGTCCCAGGTTGAAATGGTTTCCTAGCAATAAAGTAAGGTTGAGCATTGGTGTAGTTTTTGCACCGGCATGATAACCTTGCAATATCTTGAGATTCCTGAGGTTAGTTTGTGTTTTTGGGGATACGCTGTATTCTACAATTTGCAAATGCAAATGAGAGGCATGAATGGGTGGCCATGGTGGTTATTTCTGGATTAGGATTTTTCCCCTTGCTCAGCATCTTTCCTCTTGAGTTTTACATATTAATATAATGCTTGTTGTATATTGATTAATCTCATGCTCCAGGGCTTCTGATGGTTGTCTCTAGGGGCTGGGAAGAAATTATTTCCCCCCATTAATTCATTACTAACTTCTGAGGGTTTTTTTCCCTCTCTCTGAAGCATCAGAAATGGGACATTTATTGGCTGCGGTGCTCCTAGAGCAGGGGTGGGCAACATATGGCCCATGGGCCAGATCCAACCCACTAGGCCATTCTATCCAGCCTGTGGGGCCCTTAAAAAATTTAGAAAATTAATAATTATTTGCTTCTGGCTGCCTGTCAAAGATGACAGATGCCAGGGGCAAGAGGGCCCAGGAGGAGCCTGCAGCAGGACCAAGCAGCCCAGCCCCGCCCCACCTCCAGCCATTTCTCTGCTTCCTGCCGCTGCTCCAGTGCCCTGTGGCTCCTGGCTGCATCACCAGACTGGGGGAACACGGGGCTGTGCTGGTACCCCATGGCCAGGACTGGGAGGAGTAGAGAGTGTGTGTGTGTGTGTGTGTGTGTGTGTGTGTGTGTGTGTGTATCTGTGTGTGTAGGGTGAGTCCCACACACACAGGCCACCATACACATGCACCCACACCCCTCCTCACACTGCCATACATGCAGGCCCCTGCACCCCTTCACACACCCCAGCCACCCATCCTCCCCACAAATCCCATCCACACCCCATGTATCCACACACACACACCCATATGCTCCCTCACCCTACACCCACACCCTCCCCCACACCTCACATGCCCACTCACCCACAGCCCCCCACACTGCCCACAACATACAAGAGTAAGACTTAATTTAAAATTATTGTGCAACCACCTCTATGTACACTACACAAACACATGTAAACCAGGACAAAAATATTTTTTTTAATCAAATTAATTAATGTTGTAGATATTCGCTTTTTAAAATATAATTTGGTATGTTTCTGGTTCCGAGATGACAAAACCCCTTGCTGAAAGGAGTACTTCCGGGGGCAATGAGAGGGACTTCTGGCAGCAAAGGTCAAGGGTTAGGGGACAGGACTTCTGGTTACAAGATGGCGACCAGGGGTGGGGCATCTGTCAAGGAGCAGGGCTACCCATGCGGCCCTTGACAGCTTGCCAAAAGTCAGTAAGTGGCCCTCTGCCCAAAATAATTGCCTGCCCCTGTCCTAGAGACACTGAGAAAACCTCTTAGATACCTAATTGGTATGTCTTATTCACATGCTCAGATTTAAATGGTTCATCAGATCTGGGATCAGGAAGGAATTTTCCCGCACGCTAAATTAGTGACTGCCATTGTAGGGAAACGGTGATTACTTTCCTCTGTAGCCTGGGGCCTTGCCTCTTCCTTAGGATTTTCTGGACTTAGTTTATTTAGCAAATACGCTGCTGTTGCAGGGGGCCAAGGCATTAGTGGTGCTGTTGGTCTCTCCTACTCTGATCACAGCATTGGTGGCATGCTGTGTTTTCTAAGGCTTGGGTATGGCATTTTACTAAAGAGCCTAAGTTTGTTATGAATTGTTAAGGGGTGCTTTGGGCAGAGGATTTGGAGGGAATGTTCCTGTGAACCTTTTTGAAATAATTGTTTCTTGCATGGTTAATTGCGGTTGTAGTGGATTCAGTGGTCTGAGTTGTCCCTCTTAGTCCCATGAGGAAATGTAGACAATCCTGATTTTCTTCTTGGCTTTAATCTGGTTTACTAGGTATAACATGTGAATTTAAACTTTTTATAAGATGTCTGTATCTGAGCAATACAAATACACTAATGAAAGGATAACAAATTAGCACATATTGAACAACCCCAAAGAAAACCTGAAATGACCCCTGACATTCTACTCATGTATTACCCAATGATTTCAACTGCTCAAGAGTACACAGGCAGAACAGGTGATGATAATTTACCTTAGTTGGTACTTCTACTTCTTGTGTAATAAATACTTCATCAACTTTGACAGCATCTTTTGGGAAGTATCCAAAATCCTTCCCTTTCTATAACAATCACAAAGGAAAGAGAGTACTTAGTGTTTGGTAATATATATATAGATATATAAAGTATTCATATTAAGATATTACAATTAAACACCTAGATTAGAGAGCCTTTTGTGTCTGTTTTTAATTTCAGTCAGTAAAAACCCTTTTCCTCCTCCACAAAGAAGTTTTATCTCTGCCTTTATAAAACTTATGAACCTACATACCTTACACTACATGTTACATATTCTTACTGTAAAAATAGGTAAGCGCAGTGTGGCGGCAAGGCACCACCACAGGCTCCGGAAGGGGAGAGAGTAGACCCCGTGGGCCCCATACCCCGGGAGCAGACCCCCAGCAGGGATAATTCCCCTCCCGCCCGGCAGCTGGAGCAGGAGCCGCGACCGTGCAA